CCACTGCCTCAAGGTCACATGGCTGCACGGCCCCTGGAACCCCAGTGTGACCCATGCTCTACCAAATGCTTGGCTGTACATCTCTCTCTGAAAACATTCCACGGCCTTCTCTGCCCAATCTTTCTCTAAGGGGGAAGCTGAGGCCCCCAGGTTCTCAGCACTGATGAGGCCCCTGTCTACAGACACATGCAGCTCCAGGAAACAGGCCAGTCACAGTGCAGAGGTCAAGGAGCACGGACAGAACTTCCAAGGCCATACGAGGGGGAAGAGAGCAAGCACCCTAAGCTGGGAAATTCTAAGCGCAAAGGCAGCTGCACATCCACACCTCCTGAGACTGAGCAGAGAACTTTCCTTTTCAGGAAGGAAAGAAGGTGGGGCCACTCCAACCGGCCCCAAGTGCCCAGCCTCTCCCAAGGGTCCCTCGTGCCTCGCTGCCTTCTCAGGGTCCCTGAGAAGAGCCTGGCTCTGTCGCCACGTCTCTGTCCTGGCCACAAGGCCTCTGGCTTCTCCTATGTGTGGTCCCAATCCCCCTTTCACTCCCTCCCCTCTTACCTGCTGCTGTCCTTTGCCACCTTTCCAAACAGCAGCTTCTGGAGACAGCCAATAAGGTCTCTGATGCAGAAGGTGACCAGAGCATTGAACACTGCAATGAAAAGGCCTGGATGTACTCATGGGATAGAGAACACAACAGACAGCCTGGATGCCAGGGTTCCTCCCAGCTCACCAGACAGCCTGGATGCCAGGGTCCCCTCAAGCTCACCAGCCTGGATGCCAGGGTCCCCCCAGCTCACCAGCACTGTCCGTGACCTGGAATTTGTTGGCCTCAGCACTTTCCCGGTCCCCTTGGGTGGTGGCCACAGCTGCTCGGAACGCCTGTACCACTTCATGGAACAGCTTTGGAGTGAGGCGTTGCTGAAGGAGCAAGAGTACCAGGGGCGTCAGGGGAGCCAAGACTGCACTGGGCAGAGTGGAAACGGTGGCCCCAGAGAAAGGCACCCTCACCCTCAGACACAGGGCAGAGGTGGGGGGGGCCCACAGAGCCCCATACGGATAACAAAAATGGAAACAAAGTCTAGAATTCTCTGGGAAGGGGAGGGAGTCTGGCTCAGGAGCCCCAGGGAACGGGCTGGGGGTTCCAGATCCTGCACTATGACCACCTCCAGGTGGTATCTGGAGCTCTCCCTATCCTTGTCCCTAGAAAAACCACTGAGAGAGGCTCAGAAGGATCCCAGCTCCCCCAGCCAACAAAGGCACAGACAGTCCATCCCACCCATAGTGGGGCAGATTTTGGGGAGCCAGGCGCCGACAGAGCCCCTGGAATCTACCCAAAGGTGAACGCACAGTCCTGGGGCAATCAAGCAAGCAGGAGGATCAAGGCGTAGTGACTTGCGCTAAAGAGGACTCCAGTGTCCCCTTCGTGGAGAAGAGCTCCTCCCACCAGCACAGCCTCAGGCACCCCAAGTGAGGCAAGGCCAGATTCCGGCCTAGGGCACCCAGCTGCCCACCCCTCGCTGCTGCTCACCTTTGCTGCCTGTTTCCATCTCTCAGCCATGGCGAGGGTCACAGGAACACAATTCTTCTTCCCCTTCAGCCCTGTGGGGACTCCGCCCCCATCCTCCCCCTCCTCTGCTCCATCCTCCTCCTCACTGGCTTCCTGCACAGAAAGGCTGAGCTGAAGGAGGGTGTAAAGGCCACAAGTGCCCTCCTTCTGGTTCGGCCCATGCCCTCACCTCCAGCACATCCGGCAGGGAGTGGAACGGCTCCTCCTCCTCCTCAGAGCTGTCTGAGTCGCTGAAGTTTAGCAGGCTCTGGTCATTCTCCTGCAGGAACTTGTAGAACTCAGGGTCTCTGTCCTTCAGCCGAGACAGCTGGTCCTTGTGCTCAGAGGCACGGCCTTTACGCCGGCTGAGAAGGCACAAGTCAGCAACCCCAGTAGAAAGTGGAAGTAGAGGGGGTGGGGAGTGGCCTACAGGGTTAGTCTGCTCCGTTCACAGAGTTACCAACAAGCAAGGCAGGAGAATTGCCAGGAGGTATGTTTTTGGCAGACCTGTCTCTCCTACCCAACAGCCTCTACAATGTAACACTCAAACCCAATACACAGGACTCCCAACCACGGTCTTCCCTGGACTTGTTGCACCTGTGCCATGCTCTACTCTGGCTGTTGGTAGCTTCACCCTTCCAGGGGCTCAGACTAAAGGCAAACCTCTGTCTCAAACCTCTGTCTCTAATACCCAGCACGCAACTTGTCATCAGATCTCATTAGCAACACCTTCAAAACTGTTCACGCCTCCTCTCAAACCACCACAGTTCAACTCTCAGTTAACATAAGTCTCTCTGTTTCCACCCTTGCCACCTACAAGGCACTCCACCGCTCAAACCCAGAAGTAACTTCCTGTTTTACAAGGTAACCTTAGGACAGTCTACGGCCCCTGGCTCTTCATCACCCTTCCGGGCTCATCTGCCCCTACTCACCCGCTCACTCCTGCCACAGCCACCACGTTGACCTCTGCACCCTCCCCAAATGCTCTCACTGCATGGCCTTTACTGTTTCTGTTACCTGAAATCCAAGACATGCTCCCCCTACTGCCTGCGTGGCCTCCTCGCTCGAGGTCTTTATTCAGACATCATCTTCTCAGCCACCTCCGCTTTTCTTTTCTTTTTTTTTTCTGAGATGGAATCTCACTGTCGCCCAGGCTGGAGTGCAGTGGTGCAATCGCCACTCACCGCAACCTCCGCCTCCCAGGTTCAAGCGATTTTCCTGCCTCAGCCTCCCAAGTAGCTAAGACTACAGGTGTGTGTCACCATGCCTAACTAATTTTTGTATTTTTGGGTTTCTTTCTTTCTTCTTTTTGAGATGGAGTCTCACTCTGTTGCCCAGGCTGGAATGCAATGGTGCCATCTCGGCTTACTGCAACCTCCACCTCCTGAATTCAAGCGATTCTCCTGCCTCAGCCTCCTGAGTAATTGGGATTACAGGCGCCCACCACGCCCGGCTAATGTTTGTATTTTTAGTAGAGACGCGATTTCTCCATGTTGGTCAGGCTGGTCTCGAATTTCTGACCTCAAGTGATCTGCCCGCCTGGGCCTCCCAAAGTGCTGGCATTACAGGTGTGAGCCACAGCGCCCAGCCTCCGCTCCTTCTAACAGAGCAACTCGGCTCCCCTGGCAATTCTCTCTCCAGCCTGTCTCTCCTTTCCCTCCCCAGCACTTATCTGTTCCACTGAACTGCAGGCAGTGATTTTACCCAAGACCGTGAGAGACCCAGATCGGGAAGAGACGTTTGCAGAACTCACCAACATACGCTCATAGGACATACATAGGACAGGGTTTGGCACGGAGCAGGAGCTCAGTAAACAACGGATGAAACAGTTTAAGCTGAAAGGACTGGGAATAGAGGTCGGAGGTCCTAAGGCCTTGACCCTGAGACCCCAGGCGAGGTCAGCAAACTTGTGGCGGGGTGGGCCAGGGCAAGCAAGGAGGTTCTGCTCACCCCTGTCCCCACTCACCTGGCCGAGGGGCTCCCGCCCGGCTCATCCGGACTCCGGGCAGCCTCGCGTGTCTCCCGCGTGTCCGCTTCTGGGGAGTTTTCGGACTCGGATTCAGACTCGGAGTCAAAGCCCGAAGCTAGGAACTCGTCCACCGTCAGCTCCGCCAGGCGCCTGCGGGTCACGCAGGAGTCACAGCTGCCCGCAGAAGCAGCTCGCCCCAGCCCCCCTGAGAGGAGCAAGAAAAGCCCCTTGGATACAAACACCCACCGAGAGGCAGAGGCGGCCCTCGGACCCGCTGCTTACCTCTTGCGGCTCCGGGGAGCCGCCATGACACCAGTCCACAGCGTGCGCCCTACTTCCGGCCCCAGAATGCCGCGCTGCGGCGCACTTCCGCCGCCCAGGTCCCGCCCCGTTCCCCGCCCCGCCGCGCCACGCCCAGCCGAGTGGTTCTACGGTTCTCCGACCGCTACGCCTGCTGTCTCCGGGCGGGAGGGCGCGTTCGCGTGCACGGTGCGGGCAGCCCAAGTGGAGCCCGGATGCGCCTCCCGCTCGGCGCCCGGCTCAGCAGGACGCGGCGACGCCGGTGTCCGCCCCGGGGAAGAGAGACCAGGTGTCCCGTCGCGCCCGCAGCCCACCCGGCGCTCCGAGGGCACGCGCCTGCGAGGACGCCAGACTGCGACGGCGGGGCCCCTATGCAAAGAGCTCCCACGAATCAACAATAAAAAGCCGAGGGTCCAGTAGGAAACGCGAGGGGCAGTGGGAACCGCACTGATGTCGCCAACTCTACAAAAGACGGGCGACCCGAGGGCCAGGCTGGCTTCGCCCGATCCGCGGAGACCGGGCCAGCGCCACGAACACCGCGCAGGGCGCTCCCCGTCCACAGCCCTCTGGACGCCGACGGCGGCTCTTCTGCGGCCCTTCCCGGGGACGCCGCACGGGGTGAAGACGGTGGGGAGACCGGCGCCTTCCTCCCTGCTACCAGCCTGACACCGGGGCCCGCGGGCCTGGACAGCCAGACCCCATGACAGGGGCGCAGGCGCGGCTCCCTCAGCCCTGGCACTGAAGGGGCGAGTGAAGGACGCGGGCGGAGTGGCCTCGGGGTCCCATTTGGCCTCTTGGTGCTGCGGGGCCCCCGGGCTCCCCGGAGGAAGCAAGTTAGGGGGTCGAGGGGCCGGGGATGGCTTCCTAGGGGAGGAGGAGGGCGAGGCTTGGGGGGCTTCCCAGAGGAGAGTGAGGCCTGGGGGCTTCTCGGAGGAGGAGGAGGGGGAGGTCTGGGGGTCTTCCCGGAGAAGGAGGAGGGCAAGGCCTAGGGGGGCTTCCCGAGGGAGGAGAATGGTGGGGCCTGGGGAGCTTCCCGGAGGAGGAGGATGGCGGGCCCTGGGGGGCTTCCCGGAGGAGAAGGCGGGCGAGGCCTGGGGGGCTTCCCGGAGGAGGAGGATGGCGGGGCCTGGGGGGCTTCCCGGAGGAGGAGGATGGCGGGGCCTGGGGGACTTCCCGGAGGAGGATGGCGGGGCCTGGGGGGCTTCTTGGAGGAGGATGAGGGTGGGGCCTTTAGGGGGCTTCTCGGAGGAGGCAGCGAACCCGGGGCGCGGCGCTGGAAGGATCCGCGTCCAACGTCTAGTCCCTGAAGCCTCTCGGCAGGCGGGGCGGGCGGCGCCGAGAAACAGCGGCTGCGGGCGGGAGCGGCGGGACTGAGCGACGCGAGCGGGCCGCCACCGCCGAGCAGCCCTCCGGCAGTCTCCGCGTCGGTTCGCCCGCGCGTCCTCCGCGAATCGGCGGCGGGTCCGGCAGCCGAATGCAGCCCCGCAGCGAGCGCCCGGCCGGCAGGACGCAGAGCCCGGAGCACGGCAGCCCGGGGCCTGGGCCCGAGGCGCCGCCGCCGCCACCACCGCCGCAGCCGCCGGCGTGAGTGGGCGGGGGTCGGGGCGCGGGGGGCGGCCTCGGGACCTGCCCGGCCCCCGCCCTCGCGTCCGCTTGCTGAAGGGGCGGGGGCCGCTCCGGAGGGCCCGGGGAGGTCGGGACCCGGGTGCGGAGCGGGGTCGGCCCAGAGTAGCGTCCCCACCAGCGCCCCGCGCTCCCAGGTCGCCGCTCCCGCTGCGGGCCCGAGAGGGCGGCTGGGAACGCGGAGGAGCTGAGCTCGTGGGGGCGCCGGGGAGCGGGGCCAGGCGCGGGGCTCTGACGACGCCCGGGGGAGCAGGGGCGCAGCGCAGGCCTGGACACGGCGCGCGCGGGGCGGGGGTCCTTGGCGGAGGTCAGGCGAGGACTGTCGGCGCCCCCGTCGCACCAGGGGCTGGGTCCCCGCGGGCTGCCCGGGCACGGCCCAGAGTCTCCAGGGCAACCAGGGCGGGCGGGCAGCGCCAGCCGGGCCGAAGCCTGACCCGCCCGCCCCCTGCAGCCCCGAGGCAGAGCGCACGCGGCCCCGGCAGGCTCGGCCCGCAGCCCCCATGGAGGGAGCCGTGCAGCTGCTGAGCCGCGAGGGCCACAGCGTGGCCCACAACTCCAAGCGCCACTACCACGACGCCTTCGTGGCCATGAGCCGCATGCGCCAGCGCGGCCTCCTGTGCGACATCGTCCTGCACGTGGCCGCCAAGGAGATCCGTGCACACAAAGTGGTGTTGGCTTCCTGCAGCCCGTACTTCCACGCCATGTTCACAAGCAAGTACTCACCTGCGAGGCGCTGGGGACTCCGTGGGTCCCTCGGGTCAGCCCCTCTGACACGCTGTCCCCACAGATGAGATGAGCGAGAGCCGCCAGACCCACGTGACGCTGCACGACATCGACCCCCAGGCCTTGGACCAGCTGGTGCAGTTTGCGTACACGGCTGAGATCGTGGTGGGCGAGGGCAACGTGCAGGTGAGGCTGCCTCCCCTGGGCCCCGGTGAAGTCCTCTCAGCCAGATCCCGCTGCCCTCCACCTTGTGCCTCCCTCACCTGCATCTCGGTGCCCCGTAGACTCTGCTCCCAGCCGCCAGCCTCCTGCAGCTGAATGGCGTCCGAGACGCCTGCTGCAAGTTCCTGCTGAGTCAGCTCGACCCCTCCAACTGCCTGGGCATCCGGGGCTTTGCCGATGCGCACTCCTGCAGCGACCTGCTCAAGGCCGCCCACAGGTACGTGCTGCAGCACTTCGTGGACGTGGCCAAGACCGAAGAGTTTATGCTGCTGCCCCTGAAACAGGTAACAGCTGGTGGGCCCAGCCGGCGCCCTCCACCCCACCCGTTTTTGCTTTTGACTCCCGACCCCATTTTGTCCTGATGCAGCCCTGCTCACCTCACAATCCTTAGTACTTGCTGTGCATCCCCAAGACCCTCCTGGATCGAGGCCCCCCAGGAGCCTCGTCTGTGGCTCCTGACTCTGCTCAGCCCCTCCCAGTATGAACACTCAGCCCCCACCCCTAACCCTCCTCCTAGGCATCTTCAGGGCTCCCTGGGCCCACAGGACCCTCCCCAGATCTCAGGTCTGAGGACCTCCACCCCCAGGTGCTGGAACTGGTCTCTAGTGACAGCCTGAACGTGCCTTCGGAGGAGGAGGTCTATCGAGCAGTCCTGAGCTGGGTGAAACATGACGTGGACGCCCGCAGGCAGCATGTCCCACGGGTGAGGCCCGGCCCCGGGGGCTCCCATAGCATCCAGGAGGGCATGCAGGTGGCTGAGGGCCTGGTGCGCCCTGATCTTTCCCGAGTTCAGGGATTCCGTGGGGATGGTGCCCACCCTGTCTGAAGAAGAACCCGTCACACAGGTGGTACCGGCATCTGGGGGGTTGTCTCAGCCCTGGGGCCCAGTGTGCCTGAGGGTCCCGCCTGAGCGTAGTGTTCTCTGCGCCCCAGCTCATGAAGTGTGTGCGGCTGCCTCTACTGAGCCGCGACTTCCTGCTGGGCCACGTGGATGCTGAGAGCCTGGTGAGGCACCACCCTGACTGCAAGGACCTTCTCATCGAGGCCCTAAAGTTCCACCTGCTGCCCGAGCAGAGGGGCGTCCTAGGCACCAGCCGCACGCGGCCCCGGCGCTGTGAGGGGGCCGGGCCTGTGCTTTTTGCTGTGGGTATGGCTCCCACTCCTTTCCTTCCTGCCCTGTGCCTTCTCCTCCCCACCAGCACAAGCTCACCCCACCTGTGCCGGTCAGGTCCTGACCTGCCCCTCCGCCCCTCCATCCAGGGGCCTCTCCAGGAGCCCGGGGTGTGGCCCAGCAGTGGGATCCACTCACGAGTCCCGTCTCCACCTGCCCTCCCCAGGCGGTGGGAGCCTGTTTGCCATCCACGGAGACTGTGAGGCCTATGACACGCGCACCGACCGCTGGCACGTGGTGGCCTCCATGTCCACGCGCCGGGCCCGGGTGGGAGTGGCTGCGGTGGGGAACCGGCTGTATGCTGTGGGCGGGTAAGCCCGGAGGCTGGACTTGGGTCAGGTCTGGTGTGTGCCCCATGGGGACCGGCTGTATGCCGTGGGCGGGTAAGCCTGGAGGCTGGACTGGGGTCGGGTTTGACGCATGCCCGCCAGGCCAGTCTTGACCTACAGTGGGTTAATTCTGCTAGCTATGACGGGACCTCAGACTTGGCTACCGTGGAGTCCTACGATCCCGTGACTAACACGTGGCAGCCGGAGGTGTCCATGGGCACGAGGCGAAGCTGCCTGGGTGTGGCCGCCTTGCACGGACTCCTGTACTCGGCTGGCGGCTATGACGGGGCCTCCTGCCTGAACAGGTAGTAATTGGTGTTGGGGCCCCAGTGGCTTTGTAGGGTCCACCTCGCAAGAGGCGAGTTTGTGTCACCATCATGGAGGTCGTATCTGACGGGGTGTTAAAGGGGGTGATCTGCGAGGCCGCTTCACCCCAGGCCACGGCCACATTGGGCCTGAACTGGCTTTGCTGCCCCACTCCCCTTTCCTCTCTGGGATCCTTACCTCCAGTCCAGAGGCTGGGCCCAGGTGGGTGTACGCCCAGGCTTTTCCAGGCAGCCAGGAGCCTGTGCCCACCAGCGGGTCCTGGCTGGTAGGACTTTGCGGTCTGAGTCTCTGTGGCTCCTAGGGTAAGATTTTGGCCGTTCTGCTGGGGAGGGCAGGTCCTGGGGCCGGGACGCTTTTCTGTCTCTATTGAGCTGTGGCGGTCCTGGTGCCCACAGCGCCGAACGCTACGACCCCCTGACCGGAACGTGGACATCCGTCGCTGCCATGAGCACCCGGAGGCGCTATGTGCGAGTGGCCACGCTTGGTGGGTGATGGGGCCTGCCTGGGGGGGTCCCCGCCTTCCCCCACCCTGGAGACCCCACTCCCAGCAGGAGTGCCACGGGCATGTTGACTTTCCACAGATGGGAACCTGTATGCCGTGGGCGGCTACGACAGCTCCTCACACCTGGCCACTGTGGAGAAGTATGAGCCCCAGGTGCATAGTGCACCCCTCCTGTCCACCCCCTCCTGTGCGCTGCGGGGCCCTCCCCTCTCTGGTCACCCACATCCCACCCATTCCCGACACCCCACGCTGGAGTTGGGGCTGCGGCAGGGGAGGGATGCCCGTGGCGGGTCTGCCTCCAGCCCACACCCTCGCCCCCAGGTGAACGCTTGGTCGTCTGTGGCGTCCATGCTAAGCCGACGCAGCTCAGCAGGTGTGGCCGTGCTGGAGGGTGCCCTGTATGTGGCAGGGGGCAACGACGGGACTAGCTGCCTCAACTCAGTAGAGAGATACAGTCCCAAGGCTGGAGCCTGGGAGAGTGTGGCGCCAATGAACATCCGCAGGTCCGCAGTGGGGCTGTGCGGCGGGGAGGGGGTTTTCCCCACTTCAGTGGGCATGTCCTGCCCCCACTGCTTCTCGTGGCGCGGCCCCTCCCCCCGCACCCCTTCCTGCTGCCAGGGGCTCACCCCGCCTGCCCCCCAGGAGCACGCACGACCTGGTGGCCATGGATGGATGGCTGTACGCCGTGGGGGGTAACGATGGTAGCTCCAGCCTCAATTCCATCGAGAAGTACAACCCGAGGACCAACAAGTGGGTGGCCGCGTCCTGCATGTTCACACGGCGTAGTAGTGTCGGCGTGGCGGTGCTGGAGCTGCTCAACTTCCCGCCGCCATCCTCGCCCACGCTGTCCGTGTCCTCCACCAGCCTCTGACCCCCCCACCCCCAGAGGCCTGCAGCCTCCCACATGCCTTAAGGGGGCCGTGGCCCCCACCAGGGACATCTCGCATCTTCTGTCCACGTCTCTGCGTCCATTCCTTCGTGTCTATATTTAGTTGTTTATTTATTTAGTTATTTATCTTATTTATTGAGGGGTGAGCAGTGCCGCGGCCGCCCGTCCTCCCCTCCACTGCCTGCATGGCGGGCAGCCGGGAGTGACCAGGTGGGGGCCTCGCTGCCCCAGGGCCATTGCCTGCTCAGACCCTGCAGGCCGCAGAACCAGAGGCCCTGGGGGCTTTCCAAGCAGCTGCAGACACCAGCTCGAATTTTGCACACGGCGGGGTCCCGGGAAGGGTGGGGAGCAGGTGTCCTTCCTGTCGTCGTCTGCTTTGTGCCGTCTTCCCTGGATCTTGTAGTGGGTGCACACGTGTGCACTCGGGCCCCACACAGCAATACAAGCCCAATTTGAACAATAAACACATTTCTGGGGCTCCTCAGGCTGAGTGTCTCTCTGGCTTGTGGGGCAGCTGCGCAACTTTGGGTCCTATCTGGGGGTCCAGGGTGAGGGGCGTGGGCGGGTGGCCTGAGATGCTGCACCGGTGTCTGGGGGCTACAAGGCAGAGCTGTGCATCCAGGGAGGGTGGGGGCCATGGAGTCCCTGTGGACCAGCCTCCCACTGTAGGTGGGGTTTGCCTGGGCTGGGTCCTGAGGCTGAGGTCCCCGCCACGTCTTGGGCTCTGGGGGTGCGGCTGGGGAGGACAGCACTGCCCCTGTGTATGCTGACTGTCCTGGCCGCCTAGGTGGCACGTGGTCTTCCAGAGTCCCCTTAAGCCTTGAGGACCCTGACAGGTCTGTGGTGAGGGGGCCCAAGCAGGAGGGGAGGCTGGGGTGGCTCTGGCTGCTGTCTCCTACGCTGGAATTCCTGCCTCAGCCCTCCCTGCAGTCACCGGTGACTCAGGCCGGCCAGGGTTTAGATGGAAACAGGATGTGTGTGCACATTGTTGGGGGGTGCTGGAAGGTGGCCCCGAGTTCACAAAGCCTGAGCACAGGCAAGTGGGGTGCCCCTTGCACACTGGAGGCCTTGTCTGGGCCAGAGGGGAGATCGCCCCAAGGCTGGCCCCTCGGTGTGGAGGGCCCAGGGCAGAGACCTGGACGGCTCAGGTAGGGGCCAGGCCTCTTCCAGAAAGGCTCCACCCCCGCCCAGCCCTGGGTGACGGGCGGGACGTCCCAGAGCCCCGCCTGCCTGTGGGAGGCGGGGGCAGGAGGCTGTGGACAGGGACCCAGATTTGCCGACCTGCACGACTCTGGCCATGGGGAACAGCCACTGTGTCCCTCAGGCCCCCAGGAGGCTCCGGGCCTCCTTCTCCAGAAAGCCCTCACTGAAGGGAAACAGGTGAGCGGGGTGTGGGTGTGGCCACCTGGGCACAGGGCTCCCCCACCCGCTCCGCGGCCACGAGCTCCCTTGCCTTGTCCCCAGAGAGGACGGCGCACGGATGCCGGCTGGCCTGCTGGGCCCCGAGGCTGCTCGAAGCGGGGACGCCGCCGCCAACAAGCTCTTCCACTACATCCCGGGCACGGTGAGCGCGGCGCACGCGGTGGCTGGGGTCTGGGAGCGTGGCTCTGCCCGCGCGTGTGTGCCGCGTGTCCCTGCAGCTCAGGGTCTTCCCCTCGGCCCGGGGGGATTCAGACCCCCTTAGGTGAGGAGGGGACGCTGACTGCCCCGCCCTGGGGAGCTCATCCGGCCGAAAGTCTGAGCGGAGAGCGAAACCGCGACGCAGGACTGAGTCAGTCGGGAGCGAGCTGGGCGGGGCGGGGCGGGGCGGGGCGGGGCGGGGCCTCCCGGGACCTCCTCCCGCAGGGGACCGGCGCACGCGTCTCTGTCGCTGCAGTGGGGCTGGGGTCGTGCTGGTCGTGTCACTTGACAGTAAGGGGCCTCAGGTGAGCAGTGAGCCAGCCGGCCACCTACGCGGCCTGTTTCTCCCGGGGTGTCCCGCAGGAAGCTGCTGCTGGGTAGGGCCGCCCCATCCACAGCAACCCCTCTGTGCACGCACCGGCCTCCTCCCAGCCTGCCAAGGCCACGCAGCAAGGAGGCATCTCCCAAGCACACACTAGGCCACCTCTCCGTGGAAGGAGCAGAAGACCACCCCCACGCCCATCCCCCCGCCCAGGCCCCCGTGGGACTAAGGGTCTTCACAGGGTAGATGCCCAGCCCCTTTCCGATGTGCCTGGTGCTGGGTTGAGGGAACAGGAGGAGGAACCTGGCTTCAGGGCAGACAGGAGCCCCCACGGCACCCCTGTCAGGCAGGCAGGCTGCTATGTGCAGGCCCTAGGAGCGTCTGGAGGGGGGCCCTGCCCTGCACTCCTAGGTCCAGCAGCTGGTGTGGCCGTGCAGACCCCGTTGCCAACATGCCCCCGCCAGGCAGGAGGCTCGTGCCATACCCTCTCCTGACCTGCAGAGTTTCAGGGTTCCCTGCAGACAACAGGTGCTGGTTTCGGAAACCACACTGCCTCAGAGGAGTGGGCAGGCAGAGGGAGCCAGGCTGGCCTAGGGGTGGGGTCCCTTTGGCTGCATCTCAGACGCTACTCTCTCTGTCCAGGCCCAGGACATGCAGTGGGACCCTGGTGGGGTCCTATGAGGTGCAGTGGGTGGCCCTAGTGGTCCTCCCTTGCCAGGACATGGTAGCTAGAGAGGGAACCCGCTGAGCCTCAGGAAATGGGGCTGGGGGAGGAGCTCGGGGCCAGTCCTGGAGCCAGTGCTCCTCTGCCCTGTGCCTGGGCTCTGCACCCAGTGCTGTGAGCTGGCTCTGCCGGCTCCAAGCTGAGTCCTCCCCGGGGCCCCGAGGCTGAGCTGGGCTGCAGGGCCCTTCCTGGTCTGTGGCCCATTTTTCATGGGTGCCTACCCGGCATCAGTTCCCACGCTGGGTGTGGGTACAGGAGGCCCCACCCAGAGGCAGGAGGCCGGGAAAGCCTATGCGTCTGTCTGTTCACATTCCTGGGCCTGCTCAGGGGCAGCTAAGCTTGGCCAGGGCACAGCAGCACTGCAGGTAGCCCTTGCCAGCTTCTAGAGGGAGCAGGACACCTTCCCACTTGCCCCTGAGCCTGTGGATCACAGAGCTCTCCAGCCCCAGGTTCACACCCGTCCCCTTTCTGATCTCTAGCCTGGTGATCAAAGCCTGCATTTGTAGAGGACTGTGCCAGGATTGGCTAAATGTGGCATGGATGTGGATTCCCCTCCCCTCTCAGCACATGCAGTGATACCCACAGCACATCCCAGGCCCTGTCTTAGGCTCTGGGGACACAGAAGTGAACGGAATAGGCAACCCCTGTTCTCACGGTGCTCCCACTCCCACTCCCAGATGACGGGGCAGATAAATAGAAGATCCAGTGAGAAGGGTGGGGTTGGTGCTAAGGAGAAAAACAGAGGGGATGGGTGCAGAGGATCAGGGAAGGCTGGAATTTTAGAGGGGCTTCCAGAAAAGGACCTCTTGGAGCAGGTGATGTCTGAACAAAGCTGCAAAGTGGGTAAGGAAGGGGGTCGGGGCTGAGCGGTCCCCAAAGCGGGAAGAGCACATGCAGTGGCCGGAGAGCGGGGCTCTGACCCCTCGGGGCACTGCCAGGACCCGGCTGTCACCTGAGCAAGTGGCCAGCACACACTCAGGGGATCGACCCCAGAAATCTCCTCACATCTTTCAGGCTGGGGGCTGGAAATGGGCGGCGCTGAGAACATTGACACTGAGGAAATTGACAAACGTTACAAATCAGGGCATTGGTTGTTTCTGTGTCTGTTTTTTGTAGAACCAGGTGTTAAACGTTTACCAGCCAGTACTGGAGATGTGGGAGAGTTTTGAGTGTTACCTAGACACCCCCAAATTCTTCTAACAAGTCTTCAGAGGTTGAATAACCAAAGACATGTTACACAGCTTAGGAAATAATGAAGATAGGATTTAATCCACTGAGTTCAAATCTCACCATCTCTACCACTAGACCAGGCAGCTCTGTGTGGGGAAGTGTGTGTGTATGCACGCACATGAGTGTGTGCACAAGTGTGTATGTGTGCGTGTGTATGCACATGTGTACATGTGCATGTGTGTGCACGTATTTGTGCACTGTGTATGTGTGCATGCATGTGTGTTGGTGTATTTGTGTGTGGATGTGTATGCATGTATGCACATGTGTGCGTGTGCAAGTGTACGTGTGCATGTGTGTATGTATGCATATACGTGCATGTGTGTACACACGTGTATAGGTGTGCACGTGTGCATATGTGTATGTGTGCGCATGTGTACATGTGTATGTGTGCAGTGCATGCATGTGCGTGTACATGTGTATATGTGTGTGCACATGTGTATGTGTGCACGTGACACGTGTATGTGTATACATGTGTGTTTGGTGTATGTGTGTGGACATGTATGCATCTGTGTGTATGTGTGCAAGTGCATATGTGTGCACGTGTGTATCCATGCATATGCATGAATGTGTGTGTGTGTACGTGCGTATGCATCTGTATGTGTCTATTGTGTGGCATGTATGTGTCTTATGTGTATGTGTATGCATATGTGTATGTATGCATGTGTACGTGTGTGTGTGTGCATAGATACTTGCATGTTGCCTGTATGTGCACGTATCGGGGGTGTGTGCATGTACGTTTACGCAAACGTGCATGTATGTATATATGTATGCACGTGTGTGTGTAAGTTCTGCCATGACTGTTTTCCTGTGGAGAGGCTGAGTGTGCAGGTTCATGTGCCTGTGGGAGGCTGTTCTTCACATATGTGTTGGGTGGCTGTGCACAGGCAGACCATGCCTATAATCCTGTAGCTGTGTGGATGCCAGCCGAGGGGGTGAGGGGCCCAGGTGAGGCCCCCTCCCCTGAGCGCTGCTCCTTCTAGGACATCCTGGACCTGCAGAACCAGCGAGAAAACCTAGAGCAGCCGTTCCTGAGTGTGTTCAAGAAGGCGCGGCGGAGGGTGCCTGTGAGGAACCTGGGAAAGGTCGTACATTACGCCAAGGTCCAGCTGCGGTTCCAGCACAGCCAGGTGGGGGCCGGGCCGGGCTGGGGGGTGCACGCTCCGGGTGCAGCATCCCCACCAGCCTGGGGCTCCCCGGACCCTGCACTGACGACCCTGCTGCCCGCGCAGGATGTCAGCGACTGCTACCTGGAGCTGTTCCCTGCCCACCTGTACTTCCAGGCCCACGGCTCGGAAGGACTCACCTTTCAGGTGAGGCAGTGGGCAGTGGGGGTGGGGCCATGGCCACCCTTCCCTCCATGGATCCCTGAAGCTCCTACCCTGTGCCTGGCAGGGGCTGTTACCACTGACGGAGCTGAGCGTCTGCCTGCTGGAGGGGTCCCGAGAGCACGCCTTCCAGATCACAGGTGTTTGGGATGCTCCCCAGGCCCCCAGAGGCACTCGTGACCCAGGACTTGGAGAGGGGCCTGCCCTGTGGGCTGTGGGGCATGTGTGTGTATGTGTGTGCCCTCTCTGCCCCGCCTGCAGGC